GGTAGCATGGCAATGGTTCCACCAGCGTACACAAAATTGTAAGCCATCAGCGGTTTCTCTAAAAAATATGTGTCTATTTTATTTCAACATATAGATATAACCAACTATAGACAACTTGGCGCATAAGCTTGCATTAAGCTCACCCACGAACCTACGGGGATCGATATGTAGTTCCAAGATAAAAAAAAAAAAAAAAAAACTTGCCATGTCCACTACTCTTACGTATTAATGGTGATTTTTTCGTTACCTTATGTACATTTAACAAATTTTAAAAAGTTTAGGCGGAAATGTGGCCCAACAATAGCGAATTACGTAGACTGCGGAGTAAAGGAAATGTCAAAAGACCACGCCACAACGCACTTGTTACACAGGCTATGGACTTGAAATAAAATCTGCGAGTATGAAAACACAAAACGAGGAGCAATGAACTCCGCGGCACTACCTTTTTCTTTCCTAGGAGGGGCCTAGCGTATCACAATGTCTTGGTATAAATATCGGCAGGCTCATGTTGCTTTTTTTTCCACGCCATCTCTCGCTCAGGTGAGTAGTAAAATTATCTCTGTTTGTCAGACCACCCTCAGTATAAATATTATCAGGCTCACGTTGCTTTGTTTTGTACACGATCACTTGCTCAGGTGAGTAGTAATATGATTTCTATTTAATCAAACTTCCATTCAGCATAACTTAAAACCTTCTCACTTAGATAAGTTTATGCCAGATGTCATATAAAAAACAGAAATCTTAAGTAGTTCTCATAAAAAAGGAGCTAAAGTTAATTGCAGCGTGGACATATACGTGTAAATGTCGGCGTGTTAATATATACGCTATATTCCGTTTCATGTAATTTTTAGTGCAACCTGTGTTACTGGTAGTGAATTCCGGCGATAATGATTTAAACTATAATTTTATTTCTGCCATGTGATTCTGCCAAAAATTATTACCTTGATATGCCGAACGCGCGGAGACAACTTGAAAATTCAAAACCTGTCGGTTTATTCGACCGTGTTCAACGCAGAATTTTGTTGAACTTCGTCTGTAGGGCGTGGAGGTATATTTGTATAACATGAAAAAATACATAGAAGTTATTAGGATAAATTCATGTCGTCGATGATTTAAAGTTTTTTTTGTGTTGTCCAGATTCCACTTGCAGTTAAATCTGCCCTACTCAGTCCGCAGTAATTACGGTACTTAACTCCACCTGTTCCCTTTATTCAAAAAGTAAATAATTTCAACTTGCACTATAGTTTCAAGAATTTTGCGAATATTTTTGGAGCAACAAAATAAGAACATATTTTTCTAACTTACTATAAAAATTTCTTGTGATATAGAATGAAATGTCTACTTGTTTCCTTGATCCTTTCGACTGCGCAATTTTGTAATGTCCTGCAAAAATTAAACGACCAACTCATTGTTTTTTAAAGCGTTTTTTTTAATTTGTTGCTCGCCTCTTTATGCCGTGCTTCTTTTCTTTTTTTTTTTTGTGACCTTTTCTTGTCTCTAGCCCTTTCAAAGTGATTTTTAAATCCCCTTCCAATCTTTTTCTTTTTTTTTTCAGCACGAGGCTTCCAGTCAGGCAGCGACTAATTGTAAAATAAAAATGCTACTCGTACTTTTCACCGTAATGCTCATATCACAGACAGTTGAGAAGGGGTAAGAATACGAAATCATGATACGATAGGGGTGGGTACTTCTTTTTTACTTTTCTTGACTTTCTCTGCAAACTCATATGTAGTATTTTTAGAAAAACTGCCCGTCCTGCACACCTGAATTGTCGCGAACCAGAATCCTAAGAAAAGGGGTGGAGGAAGGGGGGGGGGGGGGGGGGGGGGGGGGGGGGGGGGCAGGCAGTTCAATTCGAGAAGGGAAATTTTAGAATCTGTACACATTAAATCTTATCTGTGAAACCTGTCGAGCCCTTCTCTTTTTCTTTCGGATCAAGAGACTCGGTTCCTGCGAGGCGAGAGGGCTCTTCCGAAAAGCAAAAGGACAAAATTCCTCTTTCTCCTCCTTCTACTCTTCTCCGTAACCTTCCCATCTCTTCCCTCCTCCACGAGGGCACCGTCGGCCCTCAGGGTAACGGTGACGTGTCGATTGACACCAAGCAGACACTCAACTTCCGCCGTGCACGGAGAGCTAGTTCTTTCACTGACCCTTCTCTCTCCCTCTCTTGGCGACGCTCCTCCGTCGAGCTTCGGTAGGCTAGTTGAAGCAAGGAAACGTTTTGTTTCATGTCGAAAGCAGGTGTCTTCTGTTTGTCTTCCATGTCCCTCTTTCGCTATGGGTAACTTAGACACCAAGCTCAACCATCCACACTACGTGCCACATAATAAAATTCCTCAAGCTTCTGCATTCTGCACGCGTTATATTTAAATTGATGAAATGAGATATAAAAGTGAATCTATGTATACAATTTAAATTAATGAAAATAGCTCCACCAACATTAGAAGTAATGACCAAGCAAAGCCCGTACTAAAAATCCACAAAATATCGTGAGTTGGGGGAGTGGTGCTTTAAGATACCATTGTAAAGTCTAAAGCGCTTTCTTTTTTTTTTTCTCTCTCTCTTTTGAAAATGGCAACACAAACCATGCACACGTAATAAAACAAGGAAATTAGTTTATGACGAACTAAAATAACGTTATATATTTCAGATAATTTTTTTTCGACGATAGCTGTCTTCGCTGGAGTTCAAAGTTAGTCAACATATTTATTGGCATTAACATCCGTAGTGCCAAAGAGCCTATCCTTGTGAAAATTTTTATATGTATAAAACCATTTCGGTTCAATAAACTCATATAATTTAATAATCATAATGGGCTATTCTCTATTTTCCTACAGCAAAGGGAACAAAAAAGGAGCTTGCGGAGCTAGCGTTGATCGGAGCTTGACCCAAAGGATCAATTTGAGGGGCTATGGCTATCCGAGCTCAACAAAAAGCCAGTGAAAGTGTTTTAAAAAAGGGAAAAAGAACGTTTTTTGGGTGTTTTTAAGTGTAAGCTGCATAAGAAAGAAGCTCCATACCCAGAACACCTTCTCAGCACAGCAACCCCCCCATCTGGGGTTTTGTTGCCATTTGCCTCGAGATTCGATCCGCACAACTCATATGCTGAAAAGCAGAGCAACGCTTTGTTTTACGCTTACTTGGAACAAAACGAGTGGAACGGGAGGCCGAAGCCACGGGAGGCGCCAATGCTGAGCTCGCCCACTGGAATCAACTGCCAAGAGCTCGTGCTCTGTAGCGTTACCCGTGCTCTTAGGGTGACCACCCGTCCCGCGACTCGCGGGACTGTCCCGCATTGAGGGCTCGTGTTCCGCGTCCCGCCAGAAATCCCCAAATCTTCAAAATGTCCCGAATTTCACATTGTCGTAACATTCACAACGCGAATTATGGCGCTTCCGAACAGAGTGGCACGGGGAAGCGCGGAGGTCGCTGGGGGAAGCGTGTGAATCTCTATGGTAAGCCACTTTCTATCTAGGCACTGCGAGAAGCGACTTTCTTTTTTGTAGGTGACCGACGCGCAGGCGCCGTTGTGCCCCTCCCCTTGATGGCAAAATATTGCATACGAGAATTTATTGCCTGAAAAAAAAAACTACTGTAATTATTTGCAAAGCATGGGGAGGAAAGCTTTTTTTAGTGAAGACGGCCACAGAAAGCAAAAAGCCTGCAACTCATAAAGGTCGAAAAAACAACAATTTCCTAATTTTGTCTAGAAGCATGTTAGTGTATTTACCATTTTCTTGAACCACCTGAGACTGGGTGGAGAACTAGAAGAACCAAAAGTGAAAGGGACAGGAACATAAAGACAGAAGGCGTCGTCTCAAACTCAGCTAAACGCTTATCTAGTGACGATTCCATATATACCAAAACCTAAAATGTCGCCAACCAATCACCGCATTAAAGAAGAAAAAAATCAGGTCTTCAAGCAAGGGCGTTTATCGTTCTCTGCTCAGCACATTCGGTAAGGATTCAAAAAGAGGTAGGAGGTTCATTCCGTCTGTGTCTGTAGAAGCTTGGACTGCCGGAGGATAAGGCAAGAGTGTTTCTGTGTACTAGGACGATGACAAATCCGGGAAATAGGTCATGTCTTTTGTTGAGATGTGCACATGAAGTTTGGGTTTATTAAATGCGGTGATTGGTTGGCGACGTTTGAGGTTTAGGTATATAAGGAAGTGTCCCTAAACAAAACTTTCAGCTGACTTTGAGACAACTCCTTCTGTCTTTATGTTCCTATCCCTTCCATTTTCGGTCCTTCTAGTTCTCCACCCAGACTCAGGTGGTTCAAGAAAATGATAAATCTACACCAGCTCGTCTGCGCCATCACAGTCTTATGTTAGTATAGACGCTTTGCAGCAGCTGTACATAGGCGCCGCCATGACCGACCTTTTTGTTTCCTCATACGCAGTTTACTTCACTCCATCATTACCCTAGCAGGCCAGGTTATTGCCATTCTAGATTCTACGGTGTCTTTCTTCCCAGCATTGGCCTTTGTAGAGGCTCGTCAACGCCCGTTATAGTGGCTCGGTATCGTGGTAAGATAAAAGAAGGTAAGCAATTGCGGATGTAATCTGGCGCGTGTGCAAAGGGCCTATATAAGAGAAAATATCGACAGGAAACAATAAGCCGAGAATATTTAATGTTCTTTTATTTCCTTTTGATGCATTGGGGTCTGCTGCAGTCAATGTTTATGTTTTCAACGAGAACACCTTTAATAAAACATTTAACATTATAATTGAGCAAGAAAACATTTCTGTGAGTGAAACTTATTTTAGCCTAATTGTCGCATCGCACTTTTGAAGTGTATAATATGTTTTCCGACAGCACAGGATTTCGGGATGTGCGTGTTGATAAATTTCCTTTAAAGGGCCCATGAAACGAAGTTCAGGCTGGGATAAATGAATCTAGGTTGAGATTTTACTAACTGCATATTGTTTAGTGGGCGAAAAAAAAGAAGGTAGAAAGTCAAACGCCTGATTTTCGGCATAAAAATTTGAAAACACATCGGACTATTTCGTACCTCCTTCCCTTCGAAAGCTGTCTGCCTTTTCACTGTGATACATCCGCGGTACCCAAAGCGCTCACCCGGAACAAACGCACGTCACACGACGCCGGACCTCACTTATTGTCTTCTCCCTAAGCTGACAGTGCGGTGACAGCCATGCGCTTGCCGGACCAATCAGCCGCCTCCCTTTCATCACCTTAACTAATTTTTTGCACGTGGGTATGCGCGAGGGAGCGTGATCACGTGGCAAAAGTGTGGCTGGCCCGAGGAGTACGTAGCTTCCAGAGCACAGTCAGCTCCGGGGTGAAAGGAGTGGGGAAAGCAATTTTTGTACGAGTTTTGAGCGACGGACTAATTTTCTAGGAGAATTAAAATTAACTGTTGCGCTAGTTGGTTAAACATCTTAATTACAAAAGCGCAAAGGACAAGGACATGTCCTTGTCCTTTGCGCTTTTGTAATTAAGATTTCTAGGAGAAGAATGACAGTGTCCAGTTACACGATCGAGGGTCCGACCAAGAGGGGAGTCCCTCCTTTCCGTCTTATTTAACCGTTTGGTAAAGTGTGCGATTCATGAGTTGAGGAGGAAAGCTAAGAAGGAAAAAAACAACCGCATCTCCACGAGGTGAATGATGTTGATTGGGGCGAAGCTCTGGTGGTGCTTGTCTGCGTAGACGCTGAGCCACAGCATGCCGAGCATTTCGTTCGTTTTCATCCATGTCACGCTGCGGTCAAATGCTCAAATGCGGATATAACCACGTTCCATACCACACACTCTCTTTCTGACATGGATGAAAACGAACGAAAGGCTCGGCATGCTGCGGCTCACCGTCTACGCAGACAAGCACCACCAGAGCTTCGCCCCAGGGTTGGGCAGTATCGCGATACAAATGTATCGCGATAGTATTTCAGAAATACATTTCGTATCTGTACTTCTGTATCGCGATACATTTTTTTACCAGTATCTGCATTCCTGTATCGAAATACATTTTGAATGTTCCTTTGTATCGCGATACAATCAGGATCAAATGTATTTCGTTACATTTCTTGAAAAATACTCCCCCCCCCCCCCCCCCCTCGAAAAAAAAAAAAAAAAAGGTCCGAACGCTTTTTTTTTTTTTTAACTTCTAAGGGCACCAGAGTCAAGGAGATGCTGGGGTATTGTTGCTATGCTGACCAAGGTTCCTTTTGATTCTGCAAAGTATTTTTCTATACGTCCTCTTCCCTCTTCTGAGAAGTGTTGCGTAGTCGGGGACTCAAACCAGATGGCGTGCCAGGAGTGGAGTCAGAGCATCTTCTGCCGCAGGTCCTTAGGTAGGAATTTCTTGAGTCATTGTTTGCTGGCATCCAATTCCCGCTGCTAACCGTCTCTCTCGCCTTAGCGTACAGAGTACACCCAGCCGGCAAAGCTGAGTCACATTCCGTTGCAGCACGAGCCAGGCGGTGGTTGACTTGAGATAGTAGGAAGACTCACGCTGTGAAGTTCAACACATATTCGAATGCATCTGCGGCTGCGCCCGTAACATTGCACGGCTCAAGGGTACGTCATCGGCCGACGTGAACGTGACCCGCTGCTCTGGTGATCCAAAACCTAGAAGGAGGCCAGAAGTGTCCTCGCTGTGCCATCCCAGACTACGTACTCCCGCGACT